TGCTCTCTGTCTCTCATTCTCTCTGTCTCAAATAAATAAATAAAATCTTAAAAAAAAAAAAAAGAACACCACCAGAGTAATCACCTCTGTAGACAAGATCCACTGATGGATGCTAAAATGAGTAAGAAAAAGTGTGAGGAGAAAGAGAATTATTTGCATAGTTTTTGCAGAGTCTCAAAGTATTTCCTCCAAACATTTATTAATTACAAAGGGAAAAATAGTAAATTTATAGTGGAGAAACCAAGCAGACTCACTTTAACTGAGGTTAATGCTACCAGCGTAACACATCCTGTACTCCCTGGTATGATTTACAGAGAAAAGCACATCACTTTAGTGGTACTCTTGCCAAAAATGCATAAGGCTCAATCTGTTCATGAGAAACTTAAGACAAATCCAAACTGACGGACATTTTACAAAATAATTAACAAGTACTCATCGCAAGTGTCAAAGTCATCAAAAAAGGAAAGACTGGGGAAACTGTCACAAATGGGAGAGTAAGGAGACATGACAACTAAATGCAATGTAGGATCCTGGAAGAGAAAAAGGCTCTTAGTGGAAAAACTGGTACAACCAAATCAAGTCTACAGTTTAGTTAACATTATTGTACCAATGTTAATTTCTTACTTTTGATAACTATACTATGGTTATGTAAGATGCAACATTAAGAGAAGCTGGGTGAAGGTTATGAGAAATCTACTAATTGCTGCAACTTTTCTGTATGTCTGTAATTATTTCAAAATAATATATATATGCTAAGATTACAACTATGTAAGTATTCAATACAAATGAAAACAAACTCGAAAGAAATAAATTTTAAAAATACTAATAGCTATATGTAAGGAACCGTCATGTTTTTTAAACAAAATACTTTTCTAAATCTCCCATAAAGTAACTGTTTGCTACTTTTATAATAGAACAATATAAGTTAAACTAAAATAAATCATTACTCACTTTTTATACAGAACTCCATACGGTTTTTTCAGTGCATACTGTAAAACAAAATTTATAGCTTTCAAAACAAATTACATTCTGAAAAGCGGAAGCAAAAATTATATTGCATTGTTTCAGTCATTATACAAGATTACCTGGTCCCTGAATCCTATTCTGATGTCTTCTGCTTGGCTCCCTTTTAATCACTTATATAAACCTGCAACATAAGCTTAATAACCTAACTTAAACTGCACTTCTTAATCTAAAGTTTCTATGCCCTTTCAAAAATCTGTCCAACTTAAATGATTCCTTTCATTTCTTTAAATTCTACCTATCCCACTCTTTCCAGACAAACTATTTATTTGAGAGTAGAAAGAAGAGCAGAAGAGAACAAAAAAATAAATCCTATCAGAAAAGGCTGACAGAGTTGAAATAATGTTGTCTGGAGATAAGAGAACGGAGAAAGTGTCCCAGTGATGACAATCAGAATACACTACTCAGGAGTTTAAACACAGCCCTTTAAAAAATTCCTGTCATTCAACCCTCTTTTCATTTTTTTCTTACTTCTTTCCACTCATTCACTAATAATCACTTATTACCTGTATGGTCAGTTCTGCTCTACCACAAGGAATAACAAAGACCTAAGGCATTCCCTTGCATTAGGAAAAGGGGTAAATGAGGGAAACAATGAAACGAAAAATGATCATTCATCAACAATCAGAGCTAATGAACAAAGGAAATTCAGCAGATCTTTTTAAGTACTAAACTTTTTTTTTTCTTTTTTTAAGTTTATTTGTTTTAGTAATCTCAACAGCCAACGTGGGACTCAAACTTTCAACCCCAAAATCAGGAGTCACATGCTCTTCCGACACAGCCAGCCAGGAACCCCTTCAATACTAAAAATTTTAGTAATTCTTGACCAAATGTTTCCCTGCCTTGGTGTAATGCACATTACCACAGTGACAACTCAAGAATCATAAATATGAATGTTAACTACCACAGTAACGTGTAATAGTGTGCTATTCTTAGAGCTTACTTAAATACAGGGCCAGTATCCTACCAATACAATGACACTGAGACAGAAAGATGAACATGTATTAGACATTCAGATATCTGAACTATTGTGTTTAACAAGCATAGAGAGTTTAGTCAAGTTTAAAAGTCTATTCAATTACTTAGTTGATTTAAGTCAAAGAACCTATCTGCTGTATTCAAGGCCTAAATATTCAACCACCAACTAGGTATCTCCATAGACTACGCTTTCTAATCACTGATTAAACATTTACTGAGCATCTACCATGTGCCACACACTGGGCTAAACAGCAGGCTACAGAGGTAGAAAAAAACATAAAGTTTTTATCTTCATCACTTACATTACAGGTCCTGAACTGAACATACCACTTCTCTCTCCAAACCTGCTCCACCTGGTATATTCTCTAATTGGCATTATCACTCATCAAGAACCCAACTTCCACCCTCAACATCTAGTCTCTCTGATCATCTCTCATTTTCACTTGCAATACCACACTCCAGATACTATTACCTGCCTGACAGCAATGGCTGAATTAGTTTCCCACATTTGCTCTCAATTTTCTCTGGTCAAACCGATTAAAGGAGCTGATCATATCTGTCACCAACCAACTTTCAATGGTTCCTTAGAGCTTTCAGAACAAAGCTCAAACTCCATGTTATCTGATCCCTGTCTGTTCTTCTAGCTCCATAGAGCCCATTTTCCCTTTAGCCATCCCCAATTACTTGCAGTTCCCCAAATGCATCATGCTCCTTCACATTCCCTTCTTTGTTGTTGTTGTTTTTTTTGTTTGTTTTTTGCACAAGTATTTTCCTCAGCCTTGGAAGACTTTCTCCTCCTCTTCCTCTCCTCCTAATTCCTCTAACTCCTCCTTCAAAACGAAGTTAAGTATCTTCTCTGGGAAGCCCACTCTGTGTGTGGCTACCCTTATGGGATTTTAACTCTGCCTCCCATCCTACCCTGTACATGCCTCCAGCAGAGCACTTAATTCACAGTGCTATAATTTCTTACTTGCCAGTCTCCCTCATTAAGCTCACTGAAGGGATAAATGTGTCTTATATAACTATTAATCCTCAGCACCTAGCACAGTACTTGGTATTGCTGAAGGAATAGACAGTAATATGCAGTTATTTCACTTTACAAACTAGATATGTTCTTTAAATGCGAGTAAACCAAATTCTAGTAATTGAAACCAGTTGAAATTTACTAAGGGAACTACAGTAGTTGCTTCAAGGAAAACCAGTGGTTAGTGTCTTGCCAAGGCAAATAACCTCCAACTTGAGCCTTTCTCTAAGACTAGCAGTTCTTAAGGCAAGGCAAGTTTATCCATGTATTTCTCCAGCAGCCTAAACTAGTATGCTGAAAGTTTCCTAAAATAATTTCAATAACATCTGAAAAATTAGAGTGCAGGGACGCCTGTCTGGCTCAGTAGGTAGAGTGTGCAACTTGTGATCTCAGGGTTGTAAGTTCGAGCCCCATGGTGGGTGCAGAGATTACTTAAAAATCTTTTTAAAAAATTAAAAAATAGGGGTGCCTGGGTGGCTCAGTCGTTGAGCATCTGCGTTTGGCTCAGGTCATGGTCCCAGGGTCCTGGGATCGAGCCCAGCATTGGGCTCCCTGCTCGGTGGGGAGCCTGCTTCTCCCTCTGCCTGCTGTTCTCCCTGCTTGTGTTCCCTCTTTCGCTGTCTCTTTCTCTGTCAAATAAATAAAATCTTTAAAAAAAAAAATTAAAAACTACGTGTATATATATACATACCACATCTTTAAGTACTTGTGTCACCATTGAATTTGCATTTCCCCCTTTAATCAGCATAGCATTTTTAATATTTTCACTGAGTTTCGGTTCTCTCTTCTCAAGGAATCTCTTGGTTCTTTTCGTTTTGGGCTTTCTGTTCATAAAATCACAATTCATCACAACTTAAAACGTTTTCCTCAGAGTACAAAACCATGACTTGACTAACGTGCAAATTCTTAAAAACCAACAGATATTACATAACATTTATCAGTTAGGATTCTACCACTAAACAAAATCTCACTTTTTAGGGAGATAATATATATCCCCAACATTCTTTTATTACTGCTTTTTTCCGAAACCTTTATTTAAAAAAAAAAAAAAAAGACTCAATGCTTATACTGTTGCTATTTTTACTCCATTATTTTTTCTTCAGTCTAAATAAAGCAAATAGTACTTACCCTAACACAAAGAATTGCACACCAACTAGTGACCAATCTGTGGGCAGTTACTAAACACAGAGAGGCTACTAAATGCCTCTCTTTCATCCAGGTTTAAGACCACAATGCCTAGTAGGAAGTATACACTATCCCACTCCAACATCACAGCTGAGAAAGTCAAATATTATTGCTACCAATGGGGGATAATAATGACTGACAACTTTATAGAGTCACTCTATTAGGTTTATCTTCACCCAGATCCCACAACACAGGTAAAATTATTATCTTCATTTTACAGATGAGGCAACTGAGGCTAGGGAGGTAATGTGGCCAAGGTCACACATCTTACAAGTAGGCCAATCTTCAAAATGAGCTAGATTAAAAAACTCATCTAGACCAATCACTCTGCAAAATATGAAGGGAAAACAAATTCGTTATTCTGATCCTATGATGTGACAGCAGGAGTAGAATGTTTTTATACATTTCTGTTCAGAAAAAGGGCTTCACTTCTGCTTCCACTATATCTTGCTTTTCCAACAGTTCTCTGCCATCTACTGAAAGAATTCCTCCTCTCTTAAGTAACTGTGACCCTCCATCCTCCTTTCAGTCCTATGGACACTTTGGGCTGGAAAAGAGAAACAGAATATACACACATGCAATTTATCACGCAGAGTTTAAAAATTCTCCTCCAGATAAAATGTCAAGCAATATAAAGCTTCCAATCATTTGCTGTTTGATAAAGATACGTGTTTGTTAAATCAAGAAATATTTAGTATGTCTAAACTAAAAAAATAAAAGTGCTCTATACTCTATATTCCATGTGGTTTGTTACTTCTCACTAGCCAGCAAATAATGCAAATAACACCTTATATATTTTATCAGCTGTTTGTCCCCCAATCAGATCGCGGTCTTAACTCATCTTTGCCATTCCCATACCTGGAGGAATATATAGCAGATGCGCAAAAATCTCTGAATTAATGACTAAAAGAAGAACTTGTTTTGGTTGGATGTTAACCAGGCAAATCTCAAGAAATAACAGCAGGACTATTTAGGAGATCAATAAATATTTTCTGAACGCATTTAAAACAAACATCAACTAGAGAAAGAAAAAGCTAATCAACGTATCTACGTGCTGTAGCAAAAAGGCTTTACACACATTCTCGCCAATAATCCTCACAGTTCTACTAAGTACGATTATTACGAACGCTATTTTACAAAGTAAACCGAGGTTTAGGGGGATTATATGGCCCAAAGTCACAAAGCTTTGAGAACGCGCCCGGACTGTCACCTACAGCTGTCAAATTCCGAGGCCTTGTGCTGGTGACCACTCATTCCCTCACACTTCTTGGGAAGCCCAGGACGTTTCTAACTGGCCAAGATAAAAGCGGCCATCTCCGTGCTACCGCCTGGCAGCTCCCACTAGTGGGCTTCCTGGCTCTCCATCTCCCGGCGGGCGGCACCAACAGAGGGAGACCCAAGCTAGTGGATAGATCGGCCCACCGCAGGCCCAACTGACAAAGAGCGGGAGGAACGAGGGGCACCCAGGCGGAGCAGAGACTTTTTCACTCCTTCCCACCACAGGAGTCCCACTCTCTAACGTCCCCCAAAGAAGGGACCCAGCGCACTTACATAACTCGATCCAAAGCGTCCATGGCTACCGCAACGCGAATCCCGGGAACGCACGTGCACGGCGCGCTTCCGCGAGATAGGCCAGTGTTCCGGAACAGGCGGAACCGGAACTTGGGCGTGACGCCACTTCCTGGGACCGCCCGGTCGTGGACGCTTAGGGCAGTGCTGCGTTCCCTTGGTTACAGATTGTCTTTTAGCGGGAAATTAACACGCTAGGTAACACCGCCTGTAGCCGCTTGATGTACACGCCTGTGTGTATACCCGCAATAAGATATTCAGGGACTAGATGTTATTCTTCTGGGAATCTCCCAGAATGCTAAAAAGGTTGATGACATGGTAGGTATTCACGTAGTGGTTAAAAATATCAATGTGAAATGTGCACTATTGACTGAACTGTAAGATCAGTGAGGCAAAATTTAAAACTACCACAGTGCCTGGCTCATAAAAGGTGTGCAGAAAATAACACTGCTGGGACGCCTGGGTGGCTCAGT